CAGAGAGTCAGGACTTCGGTTTTACATCTCATCTGAAGGACAGGGCCTTTTTGCAATACAGTGTCCCCGTCACTATACTGGGGCTTTAGGACCCACTCAGACCGCAGAGTGAGTGCCCCCTACTGGTCCCACTAACACCATTTTTAGCGGCAACCTTTTTTTCCCCAGAAGGTCTCCATCCAGGTACTGGCCAGGCTCACACCTGCTGAGCTTCGGTGGGCTGCCAGTTGTGAGTTGCCGGTTGATATAAAGTAGCTGCTAGTTAAGGCTTTAACCTGTTTTTTTTTGCGTCTCAGTGTATTTCAGATAGTGGTAGAAATAATTCCTATATTTTTGAGGTGAATAAGACTCAGCTCTGTGTTTTGTTTGAGTTTTGTTGATGGTTGGTGGGTGGACTAGCCACATAACTGAAGAGCATTCAGACAGAAATATTCAGGATAAAACGATATGACAAAAATGCACAAAAGAGATCATTTTAATGTAATATTAGCTTTTTTTATCTTATCCTCCATCACAGATTTTTTAGTTCTATTTGTAGGGTAATGTCATTGAAACACTACAGTAAATAACTTTGGCACTTTCATTAAAACTCATCTGGACTTACAGTTGTCCTACTGAACGAAACTATCAGTGTCTAGCTGTGCATGACATTAGCTAAAAGACTGAAAGAGCATCTGTCTCACGTTCATACACATTTTCATCTCAAGCAGTTTTCGACATTCACATGGCAATCTGAAAATCATCTGCATTTTAAGACAAAACCATGTGAGAACTTGGTAATACTAAAAGTATTATAAGCTTATTTTTTTAATTCACAAACCCCATATCTCCCTCCTTCCCAATTTTCTGTGGTCAGGCTTAAATTTAGACTTACAGCATCAGTAGATTCTGTCCCTGTTGTGTCCACAGTGCTGTCGTTCTTGTTGGCCTAGGGGACAAAGAAACTGCGATAGATTTAAGCAAGAATGCGATTACCAAAACGACAGCTGTCAAACGCTTCTCGTTCATGGGCAATTGTCTTAACGGGTGAATAGGCCCACACTGTTGTAGAGACAAATCCACTGCTGATCAAAGCAGGAGATAATAAAATCCTACCAAATTAAAAACAAGCAGCCTTGCCTTAAAACACAACTGTACGTATCAGGCTGCAAAATGAGTGGAGAAAACAAAATGGTGCCCTGGTCTCCATGGATCATGAAGGGAACAACATAACTTGTCACAGGCTCAACAGTTCAGTGGGGAAACTGGGAACTTGGGGAGCTCTTATTTTAATATGATAGCCATGTGTAGACGACAATCAAAGCTGTCACCCAGACCACGCCATTGCACCTTCACGCCTTGTGTGAATCCAGCACTTTGTGTTTAGAAAATTGCACTGAAAACACATTTTTCAAACCTCTACTATAAAAGATTCGAAATCCCGAAGAATGTCTTGAAGAGGGGAGGTATGAAAGAAGAAAGGGATGAAGAAATGTCTTAATGGCAAAATGTGCAGTACTTGAAAATTTGGTATATCGGCTAAGCAAAGTATTAGCAAAAAGAAGCCTTAACACAGAACCTTCCAGAGAAACAGTGAAGATGTACAGGTATGCATTAGAAACAGTGAAGATGTTTTAAGATGTCTGAGCATCTTTTCCATTTTCATAAATTGCTAACTTGGCGAATAAGACCTAACTGCCCTATCTTTTTGTAAAAAAAAAAAATAATTCTTAATTATATCTCCCAAAATTGACTTAATTCTATCTTCCGAGGCCTTCTATTGACTACAAAAGCCCTACTGTACTTTGCTTCTCTATGGAAGGTGACCAAATATTGAGCACCCCAAAGCCTAATATTTCAACATATTAATCTGCTTCCATATTCCATACATTCTACCAGTGAACCAAACAAGCACCGCCAAATAGTGTTATCCACATGCTTTTTTATCAACAGAAGATTCATTTTGGCTCTTTAGATTTCTTGCGCTGGGACAAAGAAATGATCCCCAACAACATACCACATAATGACAACTGCTTTGCAATCCTTTGCCCTGTGATAGGAAAGGAACACAAACTTACAGCTACAAGAAAGTATCTGGATGGATACCTGTTATACACTGTGAATGTCAACCTAACTATCCCTTGTTTCATTGGATTAACCACTGATAAAAGTAAAAGGAGCTACCTGCTGTATAATGAAGCCCTGTGTTGAGCAAATGCAGACACTTAGCCAGCTGGGGGAACTGAAATTCTAAGGCTACACTGGATGATGATCATCTAAGTCTCCTAACTACTTTGAACTTACGTTCTGAGGTTCACTCTCAACTGCAGAATCACCCTCTGCCACAAAGCCGCGGTCTGCAGTAATGCACTCATCCCATTGCATATGAGCAGTACCGCTGTCGCCCCAGGGCAGCTCAGTGCCACTCTCCTCCCCGTGCGGCTCGGCTGCACTGCCCCCATCATCCCAGCACTCCGCCTCGACATCAGATGTCCCCTGATCTGGGGGAGGGGGCGAGGGGCTCTGCTCGGGCTCGGGGGGGCGGGAGGCGAAAGGCAGCAGGGAGGGGGCGTGTGGTGGGAGAGGGCCACACAAACACAGACATGGTGGAACGATGAAGAAAAAGAAAAATGTTGGGAAGGGGGGTGAAACATCGGAGGTGAAATGCAAGTGTTTTTAACCGATCTGACAATTAAACTCTTGGCCTTTTTCCTTTTACCACATGTACGGCGTACACTGCTCCAGAAGCCAGCCGTTCCAGATGGTGGAGGCACTTTTTAGCGTATTAAGATCATGACATTTGTCTAAACGCAGTCTTATTTTACTCCTAGCAAACGTGATAGGTAACCGAGTATTGCACTGTTGAACATGAACAGAATCGATTGTACAATAACTCCACCTCAATGCTAAAATAAATGTAGTAGGAGCCTTGGCAAGCTATACTTCTGGTGAACACTAGACACATACACTCACACCAGAGACACTTTTCCCAGAATATAATGTGAAAATGGGGAGAGCATACAAACTCCACACAGACAGAACCCCAGGAATTGAATTCAGGGCTACAGCGCTACTAGGCAGCATTCCTAACCATTGTGCGACATGCAAAATGTATTTAAACGCACACATCATTGTAAAGTCTCTTAAAGTGTGTGCCTCAGCTCCTGAGACATTGGAGACCAACAAGAATGTTGAAGAATGAAAAAGCCAAGATGTTAACAGAACATTTTTTAAGGGCTGTATTGGCAAGAGTATTGTTTCACTGAGGTACAGTACCTATACTTCACAGTTATCACCATTACTGCTTTATATCAACACCAGTCCCCGGTTACTGCACTGATAAAATCATGTTACCATATTCTATGTAACAATCATATTGTTCAACAATCAATCGGACATTTAGAGCATTAACAAAATCTCAGAAATCTGCTGACATCTCTGAGCTCTGTGCGTTTCTCTAGAGAAGCCTGGAGAAGTATCTATTTCATCTTCTCATCAAGACAGCAACCAGTTAATTAGTACGCATCAGTTAGCTACTTATTTCTTCCTTTTTGTAAACACTGTGGTCTAAGGATTTTTTATTATGATATAATAGAAGTAGAAATATTTTTAAAAATATTCATCTTGTTTCTTCAAATCCTCTGTATGGTTTAACAAAACCAAAAAAAAAAGTTTAAGAAAATTAAAATACAGAATCACAAAGATTCAATTTATCGGCATATATATATATAATCTTCATCATTTGTGGTTTTTTAAATAAGTATTACAATTATTTTTGCTATACACAACCTGTTTGTATTAGCCAATGGATGTTTTTCATGTCATAGTTTTCAGCTGCAATCTCTGCACCTACACACAAGAGAAAATGCGGACTGATAGGCAGAGTCCTTTTGACCTGTTCTCTTTCAAACCATATGTCTTCAAAGGAGAACTACAGGCTCAATTTCTCAGACTGATTACTGAATCCCAGTAACAAAATAAATGAATTGTCAGTATCGCAAAATTGTACCAGCACAAAATCAGGCACTTTGTGAAAGTACTGTTTGGTTGCCATTTTATTGAGAGTTTGTGAGAATTGTGACATGAGGCAGCCCTTCCTGCTCACTAGTCACTGTCAAGAGCGAATAAGTATAGGTTGTGCAGCAGAAATTCCACCGCAGAAATATTCCAACGTGATCTACAGGCAGATTTTTAAAAGTAGTGTTTGTTGGCAAAAATTTTCTCAAAGTTGATAACAATATTTCTCTTGGATTAAAAGAGATGTATTTACCAGCCTGCTTATTTACAATGTAATTGGGTCTCTTCACCTCACAGGATGTTATGCTGCCTCGTTCTGAATCGCAGAATATGGCCCTACGCATACCTGAACATTTTGTCTATTTTGTGATGGAAATTGGAGTTACAAGTTACTGTGTACATTTTACCTTCAATGTGGTTTGAAATGCGCTCATCAATGATGATGCTTTCTTACCCCGAAATATAAAAATAGCATTGTAGATCCCTTTTAACACATCATGAACTAGACAGCTCCATACCTGTGGTTTAGCATGGATTGGAGGAGAGGCATGACCCTCACTGACAGCAGAGCATGCCAGCAAGCACCCAGAAGGCCACAGGGGTCACTATTGAGTCAGGAGAGCCCTGGCTGAACAATCCCACCCTAACCTTTTTGGCAGTCTGGTTACAGTCAGCTAGTGACCACCCAGGCTTAAACCCATGATGGCAGAGCACAGCCTGTGCCCACCTTAACCAATTAAACGGGGCTCAATATTCATGAATGTGTGCATAAAATACACTTTATTTTAATCTACTGCATGTGATACAGGACGAAAATAAGTTAACCATATACAGATCACACTGATCACGCACATAAATTCAGTACAAGCTACAATATAAAAACCATGTAGGGGAAACAAGTCATAGGTTTATTCCATGCTGAGAAGAGAAGAGAGAAAAACACAACGTTTCGGTTCATGTTCTAAGATTCTCTACCAAGCAAATTACCATTTGCAGCAGCTGTTTTTCAACACATTCCCTTGAAATAATGGTGGAAACCTAACAATGTGAGATGAAGGCTCTCTTTGGGGGTCTAAGAATAACATGAGTGTCTCAGTTTACTGTGCTGGACAAAAGCACTACACTGTCTTGAATCGAGACAAAATGGTGGACAGAGCTGTTATAGCCCCCAATCCAGCCCATAAAACTTCACATTTCTTAATGTCAGTATGGACAGAACACGACTGCATGACAAGGTTTTGCATGCATCCCAGAGTCCATTATGCTTAGTATAGCTACCACATAGAGACATTCGGCTGCCAGTCTGCCAAGAGGGTGAACTGCAAGTGGAATAAAACAAGAGTCAATGGAAAAGGAGGTTTTGAAATTACACAAAATGGAGAAACAAAGAAGAAATGGGAAGGGCAGCCACTAGCAAGACCGATAAGACTGTACAGCCACCTGTGAAAGCATGGCGACACTCTATGAGGCTCTGCAGGGGTGGTCATGTATCGAATGGACATAAGGAGAAAAAAGAACGGTGATGCACATGCCAGGATATCAAGAGGAAGAATAAAACCAGAATTTCTTTTCTTACCTCCCACAAATCCCAAGGTAAGGCCTTGCAAGTTAACAAGAACAAGAGAGGGACAAGTCAATTCCAGAAACATACTGACGACAAAAAAAATCAGATTCATCTGTGCACCGCCATTTTACCATACCTAACCCACAGAAATCAAAGTGTACAAATACTTGTTCTATCCATAGGAAAATAGTCTCATTTTGCTACACTCATACTAACACTTTCTTGTGTGCAACTCTGTACATGCTTCATTAACTAGAAACATTCTGGAACACTGGCATCATACCCATTGTCACAAAGACATTCTTAAATCATATGTGATTAGTCTGAAAATGTCAATAATTTGTTCCTCAAGACCTTCAAAATCATTAAATTAACTTGGATATTTACAGGATAAAAAATAAGATATCCTTAACACCATACATGGTTGTTGGAACTCTGAATCATTTTTCCCTGCATTCGAGCTGCCATGAGCTCCCTTACAGAGTGAAAAGAGGTGGGAGTGGATTGAAACACTGAATTGTTTTTAAATTAGAAACGCATTTTCTTTAGAGTCATAAGTTTAGAAGCTATATTTCTATTTCATGATGAGGAAGTCATTCCCTCCCCATAGTGAATATAACGTACAAATTATAATCTTATGTTCTCTTTAATTCACAATAGCATATGAAACCAGACTTTCACTGAATGACACCTACAGTACTAAGGAATCTTCTCATGCAACCTACTTAACTTGATTTTTGTACAATGATCAAATACTGTAGCCGTAACTTCATTTTTTATTTCTTTAAACTCAAAGACATTCATCTTCTGATTGTCTTGCCTTATTTAGTGAAACCTCTAAAAAGTATTGTACCGTATGTGTGAAGTTTAGGTTTTGGAAAAATCGTCGATACATTTCTGCTCATCGGTTCAAGAGTGGAATAATGATGAAAACCAAGTAAGCACTCACAAAAATAACCACATGATTCTCTTCATGAAACATTCACATTCTGTGAATACTCATTGTGTAAATACTACAATAATCAGTCCTCTGGCCCAAAATGACCTTTAAACAATGTTTAGAAAAATAAATCCCTTTTTGTTACACAAATAGTGTTCAGTTGTATTCACCATGAAGGCACATTATATAACATTTTTTCACTTCAGCACATAATTGTCAGATTGAGGAATCTGGTTATTACAACGAGTAAATAACAGAAGTTAGGTCAGCTGAAAACATTTTTATGTTTTCGCTTCTTGTCTTACGTTTTGGGGGGATATTTCACTTCTTCTGAAATTTACTTTTACCGTGCCCATTTTGAAATTGAATTGATTTAGATCCCATATAATGCAGCAGCCACAGTTCACGGAATTACCCCCCACTTTTTAACCGGCATTGTGAAAAGTGCGGTGTGTCAGTTTCTTTGAAAATCAGCCTTTGGCCTTCCAAGCCCTGGTTTCTAAAAAGGACTGTTTTTTTTTTCCCCCGAAACGGCATGATTAGCAATAGAGCCAAGTGGTGCAAAGTTAACAACGCTAAACTGTTTTGAAATGGAAGGGGAGTTAGATATTAACCAAGGTCTCGAAATGTCAAAAGGCCAAGGAAGAATGAAGTAGCATGCAGGACGTTTCTGTTCATCAGCAAAGAAGCCATGTTTTTTTTTTTGTTTTCATGTACCTGTGTTACTGCGTTCAGTGTTCAACACACGCTGTTAAGTAAACGCATATAACACGCAAACGCGTGCGCTCTGATGTTTCTGTACGCGATGTGGTTCCGATCCGATAATGCCACCCGCGCCCCCCGCCCGAGCACTGGGCGTGCCAGCTGGAGAGACCCACCTGCGAGGCAGGGGAGGCCGCCGTGCCCTCTGGGCTCGCCCCCGGTTTAAGCGGATCGAAATCCAAATCGAGAAGACTGGGTCCGTCCTGCAGCGGCCCTGGCGCCTCAAACTGGCAGCAGGAGGGAGACAAGCAGGGCTTTTAGCAAGTGCAGCAGAAAAGGCGCAGGGCTGGGCAACGGGTTCAGTCCTGGGAAGACCCGCCAGTTTTCAACAAGCAGAATTGTGCAACACGAATAGCTGACTTCCCAGGTGCAGGAGGCAGCCCCCAGTTTAAATATTAAACTGTTTTTTTAAGCGCTAAAAATTCTGAGGTGCACAAAACATAAAAGTAACAAAAATATCTGCACCAGTCTTATAAAATGAACTGCTTTTGCGCGATTTCAGGTCTTAAAAGCACGATCTTTGTACCTTGCACTGAGGCACTTCTGGAAGATCATTTAAAATGAGTGAATTCGATTTTATCCGACGCCCTGCCCCCAGACACCCTATTAATTTGATTCCTGGAAGCCAGCATGATTCCAGCATCAGACAGGTACTGTATGCTGTAAATCAAGCTTGGTCTCGGTTGAGAAGAGCAGTTGGTTCCGACCTCAGGAACGTGAAGGGGTTCGTGGCAAAGAAAGGGTTCAAGGGTCAGAAGGGGTCAAGGGTAAGAAATATGAGGGTTAAAACTCTGTGTAAGCCAACTGCAGATGACACCAGAAATAGAATGGGTTGGGTTGATAGAATCCCCTAAGGCAGATTTTAACGTTGATGAAAATGAACATTTTTCTCGTGTCAAAATCTGAAGAGGTTTTGATTTGGTTTTGGTTATAAAGTTGAGTCCCTTTATTACAGTAGTTATAAAACCAAATCCTGTCTAACACGAGGGCCAGTCATACACCGTGAGATATGGAATATGAGCTGTAAATGTTTCGGTGACATGACCTTCATTGCAAATGGACCAAAACACCCGTGACAGCTGTATGAGAGTGGAGAAAGAACAGGGAAATGCTGGGGGAGATTTGTTGCCTGACCTGCGACGGAGTGGTAACGCTTATCTCCGGAACAAAATTGTCATCAAAGAGACTGATGATGTTTTCTTGTTTGAGATCTTTGGAAGGAGTAACTTTAGGAGGAGGGGGGACGGGTGGGCCTGGCTTCAGCTGCAGGTTCCACACAGAAGAGCACAGAAGTGGCAGCAGTTAGGGGAAAAAAACAACACAGGAACAGCACAGGCGTTAGTTAAAACAGACATTTCCAAAAGCACAGGCACATCATATCTTCTCAGAAATCTAAACCTTGTCACATAAGTCCACTTGACAAACCAGGCTCTATGTTAGTGATCTACAGAACACATGCTTTTCAAATGTCCAGGCCATTTAAAATTCTGTATCAGAATACTTACTCCTTTCAGCCTGTTCATACTGTATATCTAAGAATAATACTTCCTTGCCATAGTTTTTCAAAATCTATTTTACCATATAATTTAAATTAAAAAAAGAGGACACATTAAGCACAAACAACGACATTGCTTAGATCTATAGCGTAAAAATGTTCGTTGATGCACTATATAGTTTAAAATTGTACTTCTGTCAAATTTTATAATTTTATTACCATTAAAGGTGAAGACCTCCAAAGGGAGAAAACTGCTGTGTAAATCACTTAAATGAGACTTACCAACGTTTGGACCAGTTGGCATTAATAACGAGGATTTTTTTCAAGATAACACAGCAAAAACTAAATAAAAGCTGAAACGGGAGCATTTGTCGCACCGTTTGGTTTTGGTCACTTACTAGAGAAGACGAAAGGCATGTGGTTCTTTATTAATTGTCAAAAATAATTAGGAACAGATCCAGACAAGGCATAAAAATTACAATGCATTTAACATGGATTAATTGATGGATTCATTAACTGAGATGGATTTCAAATAGTGCACAACATAGTTTTTAAATTCTGAAGCAATCTTTTATTTTTACTTTATTACAATTAAGGGAAAGACATTTACTTTATAGGCTTAATATAGGTGCGGCCTATATTAAGGGTTGCTATAGCCTTTCTGGACCCTGTGCACTCTGACTGTACTCTACTTTTAAGAGAGGAACACAAAGCATGATAACAACAGGGAATCCCAGGGGACACGGTTGATAAGTGGATCAAAGTCAATTTCTGGCAGGAAAGAATGCAAGATCTGCCATCTTATACCGGTAGAATTTGCAGAAATGAAACATACTGTATTATTTTGTGCTCATTACATTTTGCACTTAGAATGCAACTTAACCTGAAGAGAGGTTGTTCAACTGTATGCTTGTGCTTAAGAGTAAAATGTAATGATTAAAACACTAGCAATGTTTGTCTTCATTTAATCTGATGCGTACAGCTCAAGTCTCATTCATCATGACTCTACATTATAGAAAATCTACAAAATGTTAGTCAGTTTTCACCACCAAAATGTTAGTCAGTTTGCACCAAAAAGAGTATGTGACACATGCAGTTTTGCCAAATTTAAGTTGTTAACATGGCAAATCACACTCTATGAAGAAATAACAGGGAATCACGCAAGATATTCATAATATGATATGATATGCGAGAGCACTACATAAATTAAAGAAAGGCAAATTGATATAAAAGACCCCTGTTAGCTTTCCTTTAAAATCACTATCAGAATTAAATTCATTAGGAACTTCACTGCATGGAACCAGAACCCTGGCACTACAGCACGCAGAATGAAATAATCTACCATATACAGTACAACCTCTTTTCAAGACTATCTGTCTGACATTATGACAAAACAACACCAACCAGAAAAGGAGCACCTATTGTATAACGTCAACAGCAACTGAATGAACTACAGACTTCGTTTTTAACCTTGCTACTGTATGTTCTTTTAAAAATATTCGCAAAACATGACTTCACAAGTGTCATCTGGAACATAAAACGTACATTACACTGCACAGAGATACAGCTTTGGTTTTACAGATGTATACTTCCCAAGGACACCTTTTAATGATTGTGTCTCTCAAATATTCGGCTTTTGAAGAAAATGCTGCTCACTGGATTTTTCCCTACAACTTGCGTTACTTAGAGCCTCTTTACTGTGTGGTGTCCCACCTTCTCTCTTTAATTCAGGGATCAGGAATGATAAAGTAGTTTGAATTCTGAGGGGATTCACTCAGAAATTAGTATTAGCTGCGGGTGTCGCAAGAACATCAAAATGGATATAGAAAAATGGGAATCTTGTAAAGCGATCAATACCATTGCATATTGCTTGCACCTAATGAAAGTGTCTGGATAGGGCATGTCAGTAGTTACATGAAGATTCACCGTGCAAGTGGCAGTGAAACAGCTCAGGAATATTTCTCACTGCTTTGGCAGTCAAAGTTACCAAGACCGTCAGTAGGTACTGTGGGAATATGGACAACAATTATTGCTAGTAGGAATGAAACTGTAGAGATTCACAAATCTACCAACTCAAGAACACACCGTGTCACAAAGCGGAGAGTAAAATACACAAAATAGGATCAGAAGATTCATAACATGCTCTGATCTCAACCTCAGATGGGATGAGGCACTCCTTCTGTCATTGCATTCGAAACTGAGCTGGTAGAAACAGTGCAACTACAACAAGCTCTTTAGGTTTACAGCACTCATTATAAAGCTCATACAGGATCTACATTACTCAATAAGCAAAGGGCTTATTTGATAAAACAATGTATATGGTGGCAGTGCCTGCTATAGGCGGTTAACTGACTAGTTAACCATGGAATGAAAAGTATATAATTTAATATGCATAAAAGTATGTATGTTTAAGTGCAATTTACAATTATTTAAGAGGTCTAAGTAATATGTACATGTAGACGACATGTCTTGCAAAAGAATTCAGACCACTGCACAAATTTTTAGTTGCTTTAAAGCAGCTTGTAATCACAACACTTGTAATATTTATAATGCAGACAACTTTCTCCACACAATTCCTGGAAAACACTAAATGAATTGAATACAAAGAAAAATATGGAAGAAAAATAGACGTTGTATATTCAGGTATACAAAATTACCTCAATGAGCCCACAACTAATTGACCGGCCTCTGTCTGTGTTATAATAATGGTTCGCGTGATTTCAGAATAAATACATCCGTCTCTGTAAAGTCCTGCAGTCAGGTAGTGAATGTCGAGCAAAGATTCAACCATGAAGACCAAGGAGCTTTCTAAACAAATCAGGGATAGAGTTATATAAATGGACAGATCAGGTGAAGGGTATACAGTAAAACCACTTCAATGACTTTCAGCGCAGACTTTGAGAAGTCTGTCTTTAAGACGCAGATGGCACCTAGCCTCTCTCTATATGAGGCTGTGCCTAGCAGTTTATGATATATTCCAGTTGCTTTCATCAGTGATAAAAAAATGTCCAGTAGTTTTGAGAAGCAACAAACGAACTACAATAATCTGTAAAAGAGACAAACCTAAAATCTTTTGACTGCTTCTCCAGAGCAACGATCACTCCATGTAGATATTACCTTAGATGGTGATTTGGGAATGGCAGGTGCAGACATTGCCCCTGGAGAAGCTACAGCAGTGTGGTTAGTTTCTTTCTTGCTTTCGGGGCTGGTGGGTGGAGACTCATCTTTAACTTGGGAAGGATCCTTATGACTGT